CGACATATAAAATTAAAACAAATTATATAAATATTCCCCAGGAATAAAACTTTATTGAAAACACTACAATCCAGTTTTTTTCTTAATTTTTGAACCGAAATCAAAATTTAGCAATTCCACTAGCTGCTGTAATAAACCTTATCCTTATCAATAACACCTTTTAAAAGACAACCTAACAGTTAACTTATCAATTTTTGATATATCTTTAATATTAAATAAAAAATGACTATTACTTCAATTTTCATACGCCCAAAACTTCTTCATTCTTTCCCTCGCCCAACTTTAAGTTTCATGGTCCACAAAATGTAAGTTAAAGTTTTTATTAAAATATAAAGTTTTTATTAAAACCAAATACAAACAACGGATCCGTGCAATTTCAATACATTTATTGTATCATCAATAATGAAATGTATTTTGCCGTGCAAATAAAGGTGCAATATTCATTTACCTTCTGTTTTCCAAGTGTACTTTCTAAAAAAAATTGCGCAATAAAAATAATGTTGTTATCATAATCATATTTTTATCTATTTTATGGAATAGAGAAAACGTTTTATTAATGTGTTAGAATATAATTTGAGCGATTTTACTATCTGTAATGCAAAATATAGCTTTGACAAAATGGAGTCAATATTGTGAAATAGGCTTATGTATAATACTCGATTCTAGAGCTCATATTTTAAATATTATTGGTTTTCTTATATTACGTATGATATAGAAATTAACATAATAATCCATATTATTAATGACTAGGACGTAATCTTATTAATGTAATCTTAAAAATGTCGAAGTAGAAGCAAAAAATAATTAGGCACATTTTTGTATGCATCAATAAAATGGGTATTAAAGGAATTTTGAATTTTTTAGGCATAATATAATAATACCATGAATACAAAAATATAAGTAGTATGAAAAAATCAGATCTCTTTAAATCCAATATAAAACAGATTATTTTAAAATGAATATTATGGCATAGCCGTAGAAGAATTATTAAGTATTATAATTAGATGTTAAAATTCTAATTGGAATCTAGAAGTTTGAAACAGATATTTCAATATTTGTGAAATGACTTATTATTTTTTTTTTAATTTAATTAAATTTGCACAATATGATGTTATCGTATCAGACCAAAATAATTCAAAACTAATAATTGCTGTAATAAATTTTTAACATATATATATAAAAACAAAACTTAGTATTTTGAAACATATTTTATTTAAAACAAATTCAGTTTTAGTATTAACAAATTTATGAATACTTTTTTAATTGGATGTCAATATGTACAGCCATTTATAGTTTTAATTTATTGTGTATAAACAACGACATAAATTGTATAGGAATGGAAATTTATGCTATAATTTATAATATTTTGAACTCAACAGAAGAAAATAGAGCGTAGATTAATAATCAATATAAAACATCTATTATTCACTACTAAACAACAAAATATGATATGTGCAGTTTCTGAGAAGATACACATAGATCAACTTAATTTTACAAAATTTAAATTTTTGTCTATTACCATTTTTTAGGGTACCAAGAGTGTATACAGTATTCGTTTTACGATCTTACCCGGTTTTTGTAAATAATATTTTTATCGAACTTTATTAATTTTGCATTATACAAAATTATAAACACAAAACCATAATCTTCTTATATCAACAATAACATTTCCATTGTTTTACAGTCAAAATACAACACTACAAAATGTATGTTGCAGTTTCGAACTGTTAGTAGTCTAGAATGGAAATACGTAGATAAGATGGAAACTACCAGTTTTATGATCAAAACTAAATTTTATGTGTGTATAAGCCAGTTTGTTTTAAATACCAATATAAAGAGCATCATTTATTTTAAGCTTTGTTGTTAATTATATAACTGATAGCATAAATTCAAGCCGAACAACTAACAGAATTATTTTTATAAAATCTATAATTGATAGTTCGACAATGGCAAAAGATATAAATAAAAAATTAATGAATAAACAAAATGTTATATCTTTACAAATAAAAAATGAAACTTTGGATTGTCTGCTTAACAATGAAAGATGGCAAAAGATATGAATAAAAAATTGTAGAGTAAAAGAAAGATTATATCTTTACAAATGAAAAATGAAATTTTGGAGTTCTGCTCTTTTTTATTCTGTTCACTCTAACCAATAATTTGTGTTTGATATTAAATATATTAATATTTATTTATTGTTCAATGTTTTTGTTATTAATATATAATAATATTATTAATATATTAAAAACTGACAAAAAGGACATTTTTCTAGTGATTTTCGTTTAGCACGATTTTTCCATATAAGAGCGAATTTTTCGAATTTCATGTTTTTTATGAGACACTCTATTCCGTGTAAAACGAGGGACAGGTGTATTTAAATTTATTAACTTTCCGTAGGGTAAGTTATAGTAATCGCAAAAAATCGAAAATGAAAATTTTGTATCTTTACGTTTTAAAGGTTTTTGAACATTTTGACATACCTTAAAAAAATTGATGTATGTGTGTGTGCGGATACAAATTTTCGTCGACGATTTCGGGAACACCGATCAACCGATTTGAATAATTCAAAAAACATTCGATTCGTATCGATAGGGAGACGTGCTGATTAGTTGTTTGCGAAGGCAGGTCCAGCCGTTCGGGGTAAAAAGTGCCAAAAAACGGTAACTCAGTTTTTAAGAGAACGGAGCGTCCGATTTTAATAATTCAAAAAACATTTTACTTGTATTGGCAAGATGAACAACTGAATAAATTTTTGGAAAGGCAGGTCAAGCGGTTATATACTCTCAACAAAAATAAGTTAAAAAAATGTCATTTGGCGGTCAAAAATGTTTATTGGACATATGTACATCAAATTATCAGATATTTTATAGAGATTTTAATAATGTGTACACATTATGTGTACATTTTTTGGGTTCCGTACCAAGATTTTTAATTGCGGTACGGGAAGTTCCAGCAATTTGCCTTAAGGAACGATACCATGCACCCCACTAGTTTGATACCAATTTAGGTGTATTTAAAGTGAAAAAATGATAAATTAGGAACAAACTTCATATCAAGTAACAGAAATTTTAAATTAATAATAATTAATGCATAGGCAAATTATGGTAAAGAATTATTGTCAAAAATATTCTTAAAAAAATGGAAATAACTTAATCATTATTTATAAGAAATCATTCAATAAGTAAATATTGTGAGTTTTATATCGAATGGAAAAAACAACTACTGAGTTGTTTTTCCAACATGCCAATGTAGTATACAATGTCCCCAACTATTGTAACTTCATCAAATTTACTGAATGTCCTTTACTGGACAGTTGTAAATAAAAGAGTAAATAATAATAAAAAAAAATATTCTAAAGTCGTTAAGTGGTTGTAAAAAATAATTGTGTTATTTGTTCAGCTTGAATAAATTTACGCTATCAATTATATATAAACACTAATTAAAACCAAAGTTTAAAATTAATTAAGCTCTTCGTTTTGGTATCTGAAACAAACTAGCTTATACACATAAAGTTTAGTGGTGATCATAAAACTGAGAGTTTCCATTTTATCTACATATTTCCATCATATACTCCTAAGAATTCGTATCAGTAACATACATTTTGTAGTGTTTATATACTATAAACATTTTAATTAATTTCAGAATTTCCACCGACCGAATAGAGAAAAACTAAAGCTGACTTTTTCGAAAGCTATGTCAGAGAATCTAAGCGAACCTATGACACAGCCTTGGCCTAATTCCTGTAGCGAGGAGAGCTCATACCCAATGAATGGCGCTATGCATCGCCACTAAACTTGATCAATACTACGCCAACAGAAAGGATGAAGGACCCTCAAAAATACACGTTTCGAAAAGTTTAATAACATCGTATAGGGGAGAACGGGGAACAAAGAAGTACAAGAAACCATTGAATGATAAATGTAGTTGAAGGATTTTGAAAAGATCACAGTTTACTCAACGATTTAGCTATTTATGACAGTACTTTGTATTGCAAAATTATATATATATATATATATATATATATATATATCTATATAAGGTTGTCAAATATCTCCCTTCCGCCTTTTTGTATTATAAACCAAGAGCAAAAAAGCGGAAGGGAGATATTTGACAACCTAATATATATATTTATTACTTTTGGATTCTTGTTCGAAACTCTACAATATATATATATATATATATATATATATATATATATGATAATCAACATGCTAAATAACAATTATAATTCTTTGTTGCAAAACGGAATTATTATTATTTTTAATTTTTTTGGTCTTGCTTTAGGTATATAATATGTACATGCACGTTCGATTAATCAATAAAATAACACAAAAGTTGCACAACTTTAAAAAAATATTTTATAAAAATAAATTTTAGTGGTTTTACTGTCACAAGCTCGAGTCTTTATATTTATAACGGAGTTATTTTATAAAACATTCTTTTACCAAATCAAGGCCATATAAACGAAATAAATTAGACGAATACACAAATAAAATATTTTTCACTGATATTTTTGTTGTCAATATTACTTAAAAATATATACGTCAAATATAAAATTTTTTTCACGATGTATCAAAAATGTGTTATTGACAGAATTGATCGACTGTACAAATAAAAATAAACATTCGAATACGACGTCTGAAACGTCAAATCGTAATGTATTTGATGTTTACAAAATAAATGCCATGCTCATTTTTCTCCAGAAATCGTTTTCATTAAGTTAATTTAAAATTTAATGTATTTTTGACTATTTCATACAAGTTATATGACAAGCAGAGCTCCAATGGAGTCGCATGAAATCAGCTGTTTTCTTTGTTTAGAATTGCTATGCAGTAGAAAAGCAGACGGTCGATGACATGTCAAAATGAACATCGCAATTAAAGAAACACACTTTATACTATTTATATCCAAAAATCCACCACATATTGTAACATATCCTTTATACACATTAAAAAATCTTCATGCTCATATAACACAAACAAATTGATATTAAAACCTACCTTTGTAATGCACTCTTAAATTACTTTGTGATAAACCGATATACGTGTATTTATCTTTCGAACTCCACGAACGCGGTAAAGGTGTTTCATTTTCATTTACGTTCGGATATAAACGTTTTAATCTATCCACAACACAAATATTTGGCGATATATTTTGTGATTCCATCGCTTCTTCACCATTACTTTCAGCAGCCATGTTGCTTTTATAATTTTACACTTTATCCCGGATACTACATGACGTCATGGCCGACTGGCTTGCTCGGTCGAGGCGCACTTGGTGCACTTGTCCACAGATAGTAGCACTTAATAAATGATTATTATTAATTATTTTATTTTGATAAGTACTAATATGTACAGATGATTATTTCTCAAGAAGAGAAGCCACAAAATGCACTTTCTCTTTAAAAAAAAAAATGAATAAAAATATTGATTTTTGAAAACTGCTTATAAGCTTTTTAAGAGCTTATTATATATTATTTTTATTGTACTATAACAGTTAAACCCCTTTAATAGTTTGTACAAAAATTAATTCTTGTCAATAACCTACAAAATGTATGAACAGTAAAAACAAAACATTTATAACATCTTTTGTGTGACAAATTGTATATATATACAATGTTTATGATACATTTGAGTAATTCTCTTTAATACTTAATTATTTTTTAATTTTAAAGAAAATCAAAAGTTTATCTTTCGTTCGTTCATTTTGAAGAAAATCATTCAATGCCTTGAAAATGACAATATACATTCTGAATATAGGTGAATGATACCTTCAACACCATTCTCATCTTCAGTGAAAACAAATGGCTTTATAAAAATTATATTTATTAAAGCTAAATATTATATTAATTGGTATATACACAATTGTCATTCGAAGAAAACATTAAAACCACAATTCAAATTCTTGGTTTCTTGCTTGGCAGTATTCCAAATGCAGATATTACTGTACTTTTGCTACCAGTAACATTTTTAGTTAAAGTAGGTTGCACTAAACCAGCAGGCTTAATAGTGGGTATAACAGTTCCGTTCGGACCTTGCTGATCCCACTTTGAATTTCTTTTTTTAGCTTCTTTCTCTTCTTGACGCTTTGCCTGTGCAGCAGCAAAATCTATTTTATTTCGCTCCCTGCGTTCTTTTTCCCGTTTGTCCATTTCTACTTTCTGCACTTTCGATAGCTCTTCATAATAACTTTCTTTACCAAACCTGTAAGATAAATCATCATTATTATTTTTTTATACTTAATTTTTAAAATCTACTCATTTAAATTTTGTAATTTACCTGAATGGATCATATTTTTCAGGTGGGTAATTAGTTCCAAATTCATTAATACCACAATACTGAATTAATTTTTCATATATACTAGGATTTCGAAAATCCTTTCTCTCTTGAATGACTTTATTCATATCCAGCTTCTCTTGAATCATTTTATCATAAAGTTTATTAATTTTGTTTTGTAGATCCTGAGGACACTTTCCAGCAGGTTCTGGAGGTAATTTTACGCCTAGATGTTCATACCTATGTAAATAAGAATTACTTATTAATAATTATAATAAATCACATGAAATGATTCGATAAATGAAGTTGTTCACTTGCAAGAAATAAAACTAGCATAAGTTTAGTAAAAGAGCAATGTTATAGATATGATACAATTTTATTATATGAGCATAACATATAGCTGCTAATTATCAAATTGAAGTCCAAATAAAAATCTTATGTATAATTTCAGCATTCAATTTAAAATTACATTGTTCATTTCGATAAGATATAATTATTTTTTTCTAATTGCATTTATATAACCATGAAAACTTTGTTTTAAATGCCATTATTTTCAATGAGATACAAGAACTTAAATGAAATGGGTAACAGAAATGCGGAAGTTAAAATGATCATATTTAAATACTCAAGTGAATAAGAAGTGTTTCAGCAAAATGCATTTCATTATGTATTTAAGTTTTCAAACTAGGGCTTTTACCATCTGCAACCAGAGTGTAAATGAATATGTGGATGAATGTAACCCAGAATCATATATACATACATATATACAAACATATATATATATATATATATATATATATATATATATATACCTACAAAAAACTGTTTCTTACCAACTCTGGAATACCCTGAATTGAGTTGGAGTTTAACTTTAAAGCTTAGAAGCTTACAACACAAAATTATACTAACTTTTTATCGATGACGCTATCATCTGGAACATCTTCTACATTTGCAGCTTCTTCAGAGGGCTCTTCTGGTTCTTCTTCACTTTCATTTTCTTCATCATCATCATCAGATGCTATCGTATCATCATGATAACTTACTAATCTAGTTTTTGTTCTGGGTTTTGTATTAGGTTTAAGATTTTTTGGAGGAGTTGAAGGTGCAGAACTGCTTCCGCTCTGAGTTTCTGCAATTAATTCACTTTGCTCTTCTTCCTCAACATTTTCTTCTCCTTCGGAGTCTGTATATGTAGCTGTTAAGGAAGCTAGTGCTTGAGATGCCATTGCATTAATTTTTTATTGTTTGCAGGTAGTATATATTAATACTGGGTATCTATATATTTATTTAACTTCACATGTAAATAAGGTTAGAATGTACTTTCAACTATTTTTAGGAAACCACAGGTATAAATAAAGTAATGAGTATCTAATTTTGTAAACTCAATAAAATGCCGTAAGAAAACATAGTTCAGACAACTTTGATCATTAATTGTAATCATTCAACACGATTTTATTAATTTTAACACAATTCTTCATTGTACGATTGTACGCTTTTACGTCAAATTTGGAGGATTTGACAATCGATAGTATGAATCGAAAATTTCGATAATAATCGTATAGAATATCGATAATTAGTTATATATGATTATAAATCAAATTTATATATAAGCATTATATACAAATACAACTATTAAAAATAGATCATTTCAAATGTCAATATTACAAAAATGTTATTTATTTATTAAATATTTGAATAAAAATCTGTGTTCACTGTAAATTTAATTTTTCAGTTGTTATCGGTATTACATATACAATGGTTGTCATTTAACTTGAATAAACTGTTTGAAAAGCCTTGTTTTAATTCTGATTAATAATTTTTAACAATTCATTAAGAAATTAAATAAAATCCAATTTGTTGTATTTAGACAGTTATAAAAAAGTACTCTGCTTAAAAGAACATACATAACCTAAAACACTTAAGGTTAATACTATCAGAAAAAAGTGCACATTAAATTAAGTGGAAACTAGAAATTCAGTATTATATAAATGGCAACCAGAAAAGCAGCTAGCAAAGCTTATATGCTTTTAGGACAATGTCTTCCTTGTGTTAAAGAAAAGGCTTCAAAAATTCGTGTAAAAAGAATGGATTTGGATGAGAATCTACTGATGGTATTTCTATACAATTTTCATATACAAATTATATTTATTCTTGTTTTAATAGTTTCTGTTTTTAGTATTTTCGGAAGGATGAAATCTTTTATGCTCATGATCCTGAAAAGAAATGCAAAGTAGGGGATATTGTGCTAATTGAAGAGCTACCAAACAAATTAACCAAACTTATCACTCACAAAGTTAAAGAAGTAGTTTATCCATTCGGTGACATAACTGATCCAGTTACAGGTAAAAAGGTTGTAGTATCTCAGTATAGAGATGATATAGACAAAGAAATAGATGCATATGGAAGGCTAGAATCTACATTTGATTATAAGAAAGCACCCCCGAGAGGTTGGCAAGAAGACAAAAAAGATTTCACCCACAGAGAAACCTATATTAAATATCATGAATCTGGCGAAGATCAGCCATATGCTGTATAGATTATTATATAATTTTGTAGTATAAATTAAAAATTATTTATCCTAACTTGGAATTTTATTTACACTTATGAACAAAAATATTATTTATAAACAATTACTCATACACTATACTTAAGAATGTATAAATTATTTTCATAATCTTATAAAAATCTCATGACTTTTGTACTTATTTAAACATTAATTAACAATAACAGTATATACAAATTTATCTTCATAAATAAATTTCAATTAATTTGTTATACTAAAATCTACTTGTTGCACAACTGCTCTCAAAAAAAAATGTTTTAATCAAGACCTAGAAATTCTCTTTCTAAAGCTGCTCCCATCATATTCCACTCACCATCATCAATTTCATCTGGAGGATCATTGCTCCCCCTTGAACCTTCTGAAGCTTCATCTCCAGAGCTATCGTCTCCATTGTGCAATTCTACCCAACGTCTTCTGCAATAAATGTTTCTTAGTTAATAGTAAAATTCCATTTAACAATAGATTGTAAATAATAAGTTTTATTTATAAAAAAAGGGTAAATTAAGCTTTTATTTCTTGTTTTGGCTGACAAAAAAAAGAATATGATAAAGGACTTACTTGGTATTAGTACAAAATTGATTTTCTTCATCCTGCATTGGACTAATTATATCTGAAATGCCCTCTGTAGAACGCTTTCTTTTGAGACTTTTTATATTTGAATCTAGTGAGTTCTCAGGATTCCAGCCATGAGGATGCTCACCTAATAATTAATTATAAAATAGATTTAAGATAGAAATTACAAATTATGTTTGTAAATACTTACTTCCTGACAAAGTATCCACATCACTACTGCTGCTATCAGATATTTCTATGCTCTCATTTGCCATTTTCTGCATTTGCTTTTTTATCCTCTGCTCTTCTTTTTTATGATATAATTCATCATCATCCTCATCTTGATTTGCTTCGCCATCACTGTCACTTTCATTAAATATATCTTCAACCTGATTTCATACAAAAACGTCATTATTTTAATTTTATATAAAAAACAACAAATATTTAGCCAATGAATATTAATTCTGACCTCCCTATCCATATCGGCAATGTCATCTGTACTAAATGACAAGAGTGGATTGATGGTGTCCATGAATCTTCCGCTAGCTGTACGTTTTCGGCCCACTGTATTTCCGGCTGAGATAGCAAAGTAATGAATTTCAAAATAATGCATTTGAAAAATCAAATTATTCAGATTGGCAAGTATCAAGCTTGTGAGTCAAAAAACAGTTATTGCAAGAAATATGTTTACCTTCATTTGCTTGCTCAATTTGCATGATTTCAGAATTGTGTTCTGGACTGCTGCAATGAGGCGGTGGATGTCGATTTCTTGATGGTTTTGGTGTTAAAGGAAAAAGGCATTCCTCTACATGCTCCCATCTTTCTGCACATGACCATAGCCAATCAGGTGTAACTATTTTGATGCCATGTTTCCTTCGTGCTTTATTAACTTTAGCAGTTCCTAAAATATTAAAACATGATGAACTAATTTAATATGATAGAATTTGCTGCAATGATTCTTATGTCAACATTTATCATTTGGGACATCTTTTATTAAAACGTGCATAATGCATTACCTGATCTGACAGCAACCAAATGTGAAGTTGTATTTGTTAGATCTTGTGTTACTGTGGCACCTAAGCTCTTTGCAACCATGTACGCCTTACTGTGCTCTAATTTTACATGTGTTGGAACCAAGCCACTAAACACTAAATGTAACCCATCTAAAACTTTTTTCTTAACTGCAGGTATAACTACTTTCAAATCTGGTAGAGTTGCATTTTCTTTATCATATAATCTATAAAATTCCTGATGAATGTTTTTTAAAATGACTTCTAAATAAAGCAAATAATCATCAGCATCTTCTAATTCAATAAGGCCATCATCTTCCTCTTTATCGTCTGAAAGACATTTATTTTCACAATTTTTCTCAGAAATACCATTTTCTGTGGAGCTTTCTTCTTTATTACTTTTTGTAGCCTTAGAATTATCTTCCAATTCAGCAATTTCTGTGATATCATTCATAGATGCTTCTGCATTTTTAGCATTTTCTACAGTTTGAACATTTCTTTCAGTTTTATCATCTTCTTTAGTTATAATTTTCTCTGCAATTTCAACATTTTCTTCAGTTTTAGCATCTTCTATAGTTTTCATGTTCTCTGCAGTTTCAACATTTTCTTCAGTTTTAGCATCTTCTATAGTTTTTATGTTCTCTGCAGTTTCAACATTTTCAGCAACTTCAGCATTTTCTGCCGTTTCAGAATTTCTTATATTTTCTGAATTTACTTCTGTAGTTTCAGAATTTTCTGAATTTTCAGTATTTTCTGAAAGTGCAGTATTTTTTGTACAAGCATTACTTTTTTCTACACTGCCTTTGAAATCATGATCATCGTTATCTATAAAAATACAACTAAATCTTAAATTTTGAAATTCAAACTAAAATATTTTTAAAATAATTACACTACCAAGAAGTTCATTGTCTTTAACATTTAAGCTAGAGCTTTCTTCAAGTTCTCCAACATTGCTCTTGGTACTTTTGAGTTTCCTTTCCAGATTTCGAACCATTTTTGATAACCCTTTATAAAAAAAAAGATTAAATTATATAATATGGCTTGAATAATATATAGTTTATTTTGACAAACATAATATGAAACCATAAATCAAATTAAACAAAGTATTTTTTATTACCTGTGAGATCAGGTCCCGGTAATACATCATCTTGCTCTGTTTTACCAAGTCCTGGCGGCGCATTGATATCACCCGTATGACGAAAAAAATGATATGGTTTAACATGAATCAAATTTGGAGCATAAGACCACACATCCTCCCTGTCATCCATAATACATACCATATTATCACCACATGGAAATAATGCTCTAAAAGCAAATTGAATATAGTTTAACACTGAATGACACAAAAATTTTGACATAATAATAAAATAAAACTTACTTTAAATTAGCTGTTTTAGTTGTAGAATTAAAGCATTCATCTCGTGATAAAATTCTATGACTAAAATACTTTCCATCTCGATCTAAGAACATTGCAATTGTGTGTGCATAATTACGTGCTCCAAATGTGCATATGTGAAGCTCAAAAAATGCTGACATATTTTTTAAAAATTTTTGAGTGCCAGGCCTTAGCCTGGTGTGATACCAAGGAGAATGTTGTCCATATAATTGAAAATGGTACACATCCTAGAAACCCAAGGAGAAATAAATGAATAAAGAATAATTGATACCATGAAATCTTAAGTATAATTTAGAAACAGACCTTTATATTGACAGGAACATTATCGTTTGTAGTATGAATCAGAGTTTGATCCAAGTCAACAAGAAGAACCAATTTTCTATCCTGAAGTAATCGTTCAGAGTCTGCTTTACCTAGCTTTTGGGCCAGCTCATGACTTACTTTCAAATCAGGTACCGAATGCACCATAGCTACAGAGGCTCCAGTAGATTGCATAGTATTGTTTGCAGATTTTCGTAAATCTGCTCCACATTCTCCACACATATCTCTCATCACAGTTGGATGAGTACATTCTTCAATTTCTAAAATTGCCGAACTAAATTTGGAAAAAGATATTTACAATGCAGCTGATAAATTCAAATATACCGCGTAAAATCATGCGCATATGTCACTTACCCAGGGTCAACAATATCCCCTTCCCTGACAACGAGACGCTTAATTTTACCAGCTTTTATCGCTTTCAATCTCTTTTGTTCACTTTTGGCAATATTCACAAAATCGTATAGTAATATTATTTGACCTATTGATAT